GCCCCTCCGCTGGAATGCTGTCTCCCCAACCGAGAGCTGTAAGTAAAAGCGTGTGGCAGTGTTGGCATCAGAGCAGCCTGCGGTAGAAGAACTGTAGCCCAGCTCTGCTCTCACCACCCCCACACGGCGGCCCCTGCCCAGGCGCCACTTGGCTTGTGAGAGACAGCAGACAGGGCTAAGTGGCCCCAGGATGGTTGAGTGATGCCAGGCGGGCGCCTAACACACCTCCCGGACAGGAAAATCGTTTCTTCCTTCTAATCACAGTCATTAAGGGGCCTGGGCCCAACTTGCTGCCGCCAGGGACAGGGCTTGGGTCTGTCTATATGGCTCCCATCATCATAGGCCACCGCCCCAGGGCCAGGAGCCACCTGTCTACCCTGCCTGCACCTGGTCAAGTGCTGTTGATCCACTCAGCCCCCAGTGGAGCCGCATGGGGCGAGAGAGGGGGCAGCCCTCAGGGAGTGGATTGGGCCTGCATGCTGCTTTCATCAGGAAGCCATGACTCTGCTGGAACCTTTTCCCTTCAAGCCTCCCCACCCCGTCCCTCTCAGGTGAGCTCCCTGGACACACCACCAGTGCCACAATTCAATTAGACTCAAGGACGACCCAGTCACGCACGCACACAGACACACATGCCCAGGTCCGTGTACACTGACGTGCCCGCAAGCACTCAAACAAAACAGACGGGACATGCATGTACATGCACAAGTACAGTTATGCATAGGTATGTGTATATATATTTAGTTGAACCGTATGAAACTGCCAATACTCAGTGACTGTTTTACTTACAAAAGTGAGGAACACTTTTTTTTTTTCCCCCGAGTTGGAGTCTCACTCTGTCGCCCAGACCGGAGTGCAGTGGCCGCTCCTGGCCACCGCAGCCTCGACCTGCTGGGCTCCGGCGATCCTTCCACCGCAGCCTTCCAAGTAGCCGGAATTACAGGCATGCGCTACCATGCCCGGCTGATTTTTTGATTTACTGTAGAGATGAGGTCTCGCTGCCCAGGCGGGTCTCGAACCCGCGGGCTCAGGCAATCCACTCACCTCAGCCTCCCAAAGGCGCGGGATTACAGGCTGAGCCACCGAGCCCGGCGAGGAACACTTTTATACTACTTGGGCATGGAAGGAAGTATACAAAAATACAGGGCCAGGTGTGGTGACTCACACCTGTAATCCCACCACATTGGAAGGCCAAGGCAAAGGAAGATCGCTTGAGCCCAGGAGGTCGAGACCAGCCTGGGCAACATAGTGAGACCTCATCTCTACAAAAAAAAAAATAATAATAGCCATAGTGGTGCATGCCTGTAGTCCCAGCTTCGGAGGTTGAGGTGGGAGAATCGCTTGAGCCTAGGAGGTCAAGGCTGCAGTAAGCTATGATTGTGCCACTGCACTCCAGCCTGGGTGACAGAGTGAGACCCTGTCTCAGAAACAAACAAGCTGGGTGCAGTGCACAGTGGCTCGCACTTGTAACGCCAGCACTTTGAGAGGCCAAGGCGAGAAGATTGCTTGAGCCCAAGAGTTTGAGACCAGCCTGGGCTCATCTCTACAAAAATTTTTTAAAAATTAGCTGGGTGTGGTTCGTGAGATTGTAGTCCCAATTTAGGATGCTGAGGCGGAAGGATTGCCTGAGCCCAGGAGGCCAAAGCTGTGGTGAGCCACGATCATGCTTCTGCACTCTGGTCTGGGCAACAGAGTGAGACCTCAACTCAAAAAAAAAAAGCCAAATTTGCACACCCATGTTCAAGTAGCCTTATTTACAATAGTCACAAGGTGGAAGCAACACAGTGTCATCAGTGGGTGAATGGATACGCTAAATGTGCTATATACATACACTGGAATGTTATCCAGCCTAAGAAGGAAGGAGGTTCTGCTACAACATGGATGAACCGTGAGGACATCATGCTAAGTGAAATAAGCCAGTCAAAAGAACGAGTGCTGTGTGACTTCACTTAAATGAGTAGTCAAATTCACAAAGAAAGTTTAATGGTGGTTGCCAGGGACTGAGGGGAGCAGAACGGCAGTTGTTGTTTAGTGGGCACAGGGCTGTGGTTTTACAAGATGAAGAGAGTTCTGGAGGGGATGACTGCCCAACAGTGTGAATGTGCTTATGCCACTGAAGTGCACACTTAAAATGGTTAAAATGGCAAATGTGTGCCAGACTAGGAGGCTCACACCTGTAATCCCAGGACTTTTGGGGGCCAAGGCAGGAGGATCTCTTGAGGCCAGGAGTTCAAGACCAGCTTGAGCAACATCGGAGACTCTGTCTCTACAAAAAATTAAAAAATTTGTCAGGTGTGGTGGCTCACTCTTGTAGTCCCAGCTATGCAGGATCTTGAGGAGGGAGGACTGCAGTGAGGTGTGATTGCATCACTGCACTACAGTCTGGGTAAGCGAGACTGTGTCTGAAAATGAAAAGAGCAAGACTGTGTCTGAAAATGAAAATAAATTAAAAATGAAAGACACAGAGCCAAAAATATGTATCATAAAGTGGACATATACACACTGAGGGATAAACACAATTAACCTGGCAACACGGAAACATGCCTGCCTTGCTCCCGGGAACACTTCTCCCACCCAGATAAGGCCCTGGTTCTCCCCTTCAAATAAACCTGAAGATAAGGCCCTAATAAGGGCCCTACCACCTCTGCTACCCTCACAGCTCATTACCCTCCCACGGTCTGACTTTGTTTACTCAGCCTCCTGCCCCTCGTGCAGCCTCCTCACTGCCAGGTAGGGCCTCCTTAGAGCGCCTGGCACTACCATTTCTAACCCTGCTCCTGGCCCAGCATTTCAGCTCCCAGCCCGTGGTCCACCCATGTTCCCCCCAGGCCCCTCACTTCTAGGCTCTTCAAAGACACAGTTCCAGCCCCATTCATTTGTGGTCCCAGGGCTCAGCTCCACTTAGGGAACCTCTAAATCCCACCCTGCTCCACCCCCAGCCATGCATATGCAAAGCTCTGTGGACACAGAAGAACCTGTGTTTTGGACAAAATCACTGGCCAGATAAACCAAACGCAGTCGGTGCCAAGCGGGGCTGTGAGACGTGGCTTTAGGTCTCCTGTGTTCCCGCTGTCTTCCTGGGATCTCATATCTCGTTGGAAGGTGGTGACAACTTCTACCTGGCCTGCTTTCATGGCCGCAGCTGCCGTCTGCTGGCCCCCTCTCCAGAGCAAAATTAAGTATTTGCCTCCTGACTTTGCAGTGTGTCCGTTTAGCCTCTGAAACCACCCTTCAACCATTTAACATACAGCCCTGGGGGACGGGAGGCAGGCTGGGGTCTGACCCACCAGCCCAAGTGCATCCCTGGAGTTGACAGTGTTAGACTCACAAAGCCATCTGGAACAAAATATCTCAGGGCTGGGCTGCAGCCCACTGCCCCAGGTGCACTGGCACCTGTTAAAAAGGCAAGCTCCAGGTTTTCTGGTGGCAGGGTCTGGGGAAGGAGCGGTAGGATCCATGTCTGGCCACAAAGGTGGCAAGAAACAGCCCCTGAAACAGCTCAAGAAGCAGGCCAAGGAGATGGACGAGGAAGATAAAGCTTTCAAGCAGAAACAAGAAGAGCAGGAGAAGGGGCAACCCCTTCAGGTCCCCTCCCACTGTGGGAGCTTTTCTGTCCTCGCAATAAATCCTGCTTTCTAAAAAAAAAAAAAAAAGAAAGAAAAGGAGCAGAAGAAACTCAAGGAGCTAAAAGCAAAGGCCCCCTGTTCCTTGTTCCTGAGGTGGTGATGACTCTAGATTCTATTCATATTTGAATATCTGTATTCACTGATATAGCTTCTTTTGCCACCTATAACTAGAATGAAGTGTTGTCTTGAAGCCTGTTATACATATAAGAATAAATTTTTAGCCAGGCGCGGTGGTTCACACCTATAATCCCAGCACTTTGGGAGGTGGAGGCGAGAGTACTGCCTGAGCCCACGAGTTTGAGACCAGCCCGGGCAACTTGGCAAGACCTCATCTCCACAATAAATCAGAAAATTAGCCGGGCTTGGTGGCATGTGCCTGTGGTTTCAGATACTTGGAAGGCTGAGGTGGAAGGATCACCTGAGCCCAGCAGGTGGAGGCTGTGGTGGCCATGAGCATGCCAATGTACTCCAGCCCGGGTGACAGTGAGATTCCAACTCTTAAAAAAAATAAAAAAAGAACTTTCGTGGGGGAAGAAAAGGCAAGCTCTGGAGGCCTCCTCAGCCCTACTGGATCATCAGAATCTCAGGGTGGGTGGAGCCTGCAGGATCTGCATTTTAACATTTCCCAGCCATTCTTGGGGGCTAGGTTGAGTCATGCTCCAGATCCTCGAAGGATGAGCTCTGAGCTGGGGTGAAGGTGGGGCAGGGGGCTGTGGGCGCCACAATTATAATGATGGAGAGTGGCAGGGTGATTGTGAGAGCAAGAGAGGTCTGGATGGGGTGTTGTCATCCTTGGTAGTTCTGTCTGACTGTCGTCCAGCTCTTACTTGGGGCCTGTGTGCACACGGGCCAAGCATATTCTCTCATGGCGGGATGATGGGGTTATGGCCAGTCTCTGAGTTGGTATCTGGGTCCATTTGTACAAGTGGGCTTGATCAAAATGTGTAGTCCACCTGTGTCAGCCTGTAGTGTCAGGCGTCAGTGTATCTGTGTGCTCATGTCTTCTCCTGGGTGTCTTGAGTCATTCATCCTGGGTGTCTTGTATCACACCTGGAGTGTGCGTGTGTGTATATGTGCAGGTATGTGTCTCTGAGCAGGCCTGGGCCCCTCTGGATTACAAATCCAACCTCTGTGGGTTCCTGGAAGGTCAGGGTTTGGGGGCTTGCTAGGAACCTAGTGGGGACGGGAAGGATTGCTGGGGAGGGCGGGGAGGGAGGCGGGAGTGTGCACTGAGTGCCTGACACTGCCACTTTCCTGAGCAGGCGAGTCCCAACACAAGCAGGCAGGTGCGGCTGACCCGACAGGTTCCAGAGGCCAGGGGCAATGGGCGGAGCAAGGTTCTGACTTAGGGTGGCAGCATTTTGGGGGACCTACCATACACGGAGCAGGCGGGCAGGAGGCAGGTCTGCCGGTATCTTCTTCCTGCTGCAGCCAACCCAGCGTGCAGGCCATGGAGCCTGCTGGCGGGTGAAGCAGCCAGGTGGCGGGCATGTTCGGAGGCTTGGGATCCCAGGGCATGGCAGGCCCCCTGCGGGGCCGGGTGGAGGAGCTGAAACGGCCATGGTGGCGAGAGAGCTCACCACTGGTGCTGCAGCACAGTGAGGCTGCCCGGCTGGCAGCCGATGCGCTCCTGGAGCGGGGCGAGACTGCCTACCTGCGGGTCCTCTCAGAGGAGCGGGAGCTGCCCTTCCTCAGCGCCCTGGATGTGGACTACATGACTAGCCACGTGCGTAGGGGTCCCGAGCTCAGCGAGGCCCAGGGGCCAGAGGCTTCGGGGCCTGACCGCCTCAGCCTGCTCTCTGAAGTCACCTCGGGCACTTACTTCCCCATGGCTTCCGATGTAGACCCCCCAGACCTGGACCTGGGCTGGCCTGAGGTTCCACAGGCCACGGGCTTTAGCCCCACCCAGGCTGTGGTCCACTTCCAGAGGGACAAAGCCAAGAACATCAAGGACCTGCTGCGTTTCCTCTTCAGCCAGGCCCGCACGGTAAGGGTGTTATGTCTTCATTCACTGCATAGATGTGGAAACTGAGGCCCGGGGAGGGAAACGAGGCCAGCCCAAGGCCACACGGCATCCTAGGGGCGGAACTGAAGCATCTGGCACTGAGATCACACGCTCCTAGAGGGCTGGAGTGTGTTGTTTACAACGGGAACCCCTTGGTGGTCAAGAACATTATGGAAAAGCATGGAACAGGGCATGGGCCCCAGGGATCCTCCCGTCCCCCAGAAAGAAACATGAAGTTGTGCACGTTATGCATCTTTCTTGGGAGGTGGTCCATGGCCTTCATCAGGTTATCAAAAAGTATTAGTGTCCCCAAACTAAGACTCCAGCCTTGGAGAACATGTGAGCCAAGCCACCCCCTTGACTTACAGAGGAAGAAAGAGACCAGAGAGGGACTCGGAACTGGCCCAGGAAGTTCCAGTCAGTTGGTGATATAGAGCTCAGGGCTCAGGAAGAGGTCTTTGACTCAAGCCCTGGGCAGCAGCCATGACCCTGCTTGCTGGCCATGTTGCCAGCTGCATCTCCAGCTGGGCCTGAAGCAGGGGAGAGGGCACTGGTGTGTGGACCCCCTCAGCATGGCCTTGAGGGCTGGGCTTTCAGCTCGGAACCAATGAGGAAAGAGGAGCAGAAGCTGCCAGGCTCAGTGATGGGGAGCAGGGGCTCAGGAGAGAGTCAGGAACATAGGGAGGGGTGGCCAGCATCCAGGAAGGCTGCAGCCTCACATGGGCACAGTACTGCTCCTGAAGCCCTGCCTGACTCGGGACAAGGGCAATGGACGAGATGACTTCCCTGCCTCAGAGATAAGAAGCCAGGACGCTGGAGTCCCACTGGCACCTCCTGAGCCTCCTTGGCAAGCCTGCCTGTGCCCCGGGCAGGGGAGGACCAGGCCTGGCTGGCATCGGGAATGGGTTATTAGTGAGGCTGTTGCTGTTGTGGTCGCTCCTGCCCCTTTGATCTTTCCTGCATGTCATTGTCCCCCAACCCCGGGCCAGGCCTGTGCTGTGAGCCAGAGCGCCCCAGTGCCTCGCCTCCTCACTCCCTCTTAGACCCCGTCCCTCAAGTTATGAGTCAGGTTCCTGCTCTGGGCTGTCACTACTTGGAGTGACTTTGGGAAACACTCCTTTTCCCTGCAGCCCAATGTCCTCATTTGTTCAGAAGGCAACAGGAGAGGAATGTGTGTGGAGCTCCTGGTGTGTGCTGAGCATTTTCACATTAATTCCCCGCAAATCGGAGGTGTAGCCATCACACTTCCAGTTAACAGCTGAGGAAGCTGAGGCACCTGGAGGGAAGCGACCTGCCTGAAGCTATTATCTCCAGGGAGAGGCCGAGTCTAGGTCTCAGCCCCATTTTGTCCAGCTCCAGGGCTGGAGTGCTGTGCTGCCTCTTGGCCCTGCTTGGGAGATTCTCACCACGGATACATGTGCAAGGAGAAGGGCCAGTGAGGGCCTGGAGGTGCCAGGCTTCCGGGGCCTCCGAGGTAGCCCTTTATATGGGATGGGGGTGCAAGTCCCAGCCTAGCCCTCAACTAAGCAGAAAGCCTAGTTCCACTTGGCATGGGAGCAAGTGAGGGAGTCTGTGAGTGTAAGGTGTCACACCAGACGGCTAAAGTTTCACAGGGAAGCCAAGGTAGGGTTGGGAAAGGGCACTGAAGATCCAGTAACTGGTGTGCAGCTCTGACCATTGAGGGGAGCCTCAGACAGTTCATGGATTAGAGCTATCGCTGAACTTAGTGGGGGGAACGCGAGGAACTTGCTTGGGAACTGGGATCTGGGTTCTGCTTCCGCCTCCTGTCCTCTGGGGCCTCAGTGCGGAGTGGGGCCTTAGCCTAGTGCAGCTGATCCACAGACTGTCTTTGAGAATCTGATGACACATAAGCAGCCCACAGAAAGTCCACATGAAATCCTTCAAACAGCTAGAGGGTCAATATAATCAGTCTCCCCGCACCCATGTTAAAAACCTGGACTAGGGCCGGGTGCAGTGGCTAAAGCCTGTAATCCCAGCACTTTGGGAGGCCAAGGTGAAGGGGTTGCCTGAGCCCACGGGTTCGAGAACAGCCTGGGCAACTTGGCGAGACCTCATCTCTACAGTAAATCAAAAAATTAGCCAGACTTGGTAGCGTGCGCCTGTAGTTTTGGCTACTTGGAAGGCTGAGGTGGAAGGATCACCTGAGCCCGGCAGGTCACCATGGGGGTGGTCATGAGTGTGTCACTGCACATCAGTCTGGGCCACAGAGTGAGACGCCAACTCAAAACAACAACAACAAAACCTGGAGTAGGTCATCACTAAAAGTCCTCCCAGTTCAGTTTTCCTGAAGGTTCTAGCCTCTTGATTTTCAGTCCAGGGGATGCTGGACCCTGCCCTGGGCTGGGCTGGATGTGGGCAGCACCCTGGGCAGAGCTGAGCTCTCACTCCTTCCACCAGGTGGTGGCTGTGGTGATGGACATATTCACTGACATGGAGCTTCTGTGTGACCTTATGGAGGCCTCAAGCCGGCGTGGTGTCCCCATCTACCTGCTCCTTGCCCAGGAGTATCTGAGGCACTTCCTGGAGATGTGCTACAAGATGGACCTCAATGGGGGACACTTGCCGGTCAGTGAGGACCCAGGGAGAGTAAGCGGGGTGGGGAGTCAGGGAGAGCAGAAGAGCCAGCTGGACGATCAGTGAGCACTGGCGGCAGGGGGCGGGGGTGGTGGGGGAATGGGAGTGGGAGGAAGGGTTCCCTTAGCTGGTTGGGGTCAGAGACGCTATGGGGAACAGACAGGCTTGAGCCCCACTCTGTCAAGGTCACCTTCCACCCTACCTCCACCCAGAACATGCGTGTACGGAGCACGTGTGGGGACACCTACTGCAGCAAGGCAGGCCGCCGTGTCACCGGGCAGGCTCTGGAGAAGTTTGTCCTCATCGACTGTGAGCAGGTGGTGGCGGGCAGCTACAGGTGAGCCCACGGCGGGGCGGGGAGAGTGTACAGGTGAGCCTGTGGAGGGGGGAAGGGGGCCTGGGGCTGGGCCACTGGCTGGCAGCCTTGACCTTCCCTCCACTCCTCCATTCCGTATCTAGTACTCACTGTGTGCTAGGTGTTTGCAGGACTCGGGGGATGGGTGGGGGCAAGTCAGCCCCGGAGATCGCTTTCATGGAAGGATTGTGTGATGCCCTCAGCAAAGAAAATAACTATTGCACATTGGAAGTGGAGGGACTTCGGGGAACCTCCCCCAGGCCATTTTACAGATGGGGAAGTTGAGACCCTGGGGGGCAGCCATGTGCCAAAGCCCACTAGGCAGGGCTCACAGAAGTACAGACTCGAGTCAGAACTCTGCCCCACTCTGCGAATCTGCATGGTGGTGGAGTTCTGGTCCAGTTTCCAGGCACGCTCCCCTGGTGTGACGGCTGCCGAGACCAGGGGCCTCTGCCTTTGGCCCCCTGACCTTGCCCTCTGCCCCCAGCTTCACCTGGCTTTGCAGTCAGGCCCACACCAGCATGGTGCTGCAACTGAGGGGCCGCATTGTGGAAGACTTTGATCGGGAGTTCCGCTGTCTGTACGCCGAGTCACGGCCTGTGGACGGCTTCTGTGGTGGCGAGGATCCACTGTCTCCCCGACCACCCTGTCCTCCCCCAGTGGCCCTGGCCTTCGGGCCTGGCATCCCAAGCCCCCCACCCTCCTCGCCCTCCAGCACCAGCCTCAGCAGCATCAAGTGCTCACCCCTAATGCGGCGCTCCTCTCACCTCTTTCTACCAGGAGGTGGTGGCTGCACTGTCATGGGTATGGGGTCCCTGTCCCCAGGCCCTGCCCGCCACGAAGCCAGTGGCGAAGCTTCTCTGCATCGTCAGCTGTCAGACCCTAACCATGGTTCCCCTCCTGGGCTCTACAAGGCCAACCTGGGCAAGCTTGGGGCATACCCATGGTCCCGGTCCTCCCCTGCCCTCAACCACAACAGTACCAGCCCCTTAACCTTGACAGTAGGGTCACCTCTGCTTCCCTGCTCCCGGCCCCTCCTCCACTTCCCTCGGGGTGTTCCAGCTCTGCCCCGGCTCCCAGAGAATGGACTCCCAGGAAGCCAGGAGCCTAGCCCCCCACGAGGTCGCCGGGTACCTGGCATAGGTCTGGAGAAGGTGGAGGAGAAGAAGGCATCTCTGAGTCACAGCCATGGTCAGCTGGATCTCCTTATCCCCTTCCCCAGAGCCCGAGAAGCAGGAGACCCTGACTCTGGGGTTACCCCCAACTCAGGCTCCTTTCGGCCTGGTGAGCAGGCCCCAGAAGACAGGAGGGTGTCCCCAGGCCACAGTGACAGCCAGATGGATTTTCTGCCCCAGGCCCAGGGTGCTGGGGGTACCCCTGAGTCAGATTCCCTCAGACCTGGCGATCGGGCCCCAGAGGACAGAATGCTGTCCCTAAACCATAGCCGTGGCCAATTGGACCTCCTGGTACAGTACCCCAAGGCCCGGGGCTTCAGAGTGCCCCCCGAAGCCAACTCCTCAGCCAGGCCTACCAGACAGGGTCCAGATGAGCAGCGACAGACCCTGGGCCATAGCCAGCTGGACCTCATCACAAAATTTGGCCCGTTCCGGGGTGAGGGGCCTGGGCCCAATGGTCTCCCAGGACCAAGCTCTGCTCACATGGCTGAAGTGGGCTCTGGGGACGAGAAGCGGATGACTCTGGGCCACAGCAAGCTGAGCCACATCACCAAGTATCATCAGTTGCCGGGGGCCAGGCAGGGGCCTGAGCCTGGCTTCCTTGGAGGTCCCACCAGCAGCCATCACAATGGTAGCAGCAATAACCTCTTTAGGGATGAGAAACGGCTGACCCTGGGCCACAGCAAACTGGACCTCATCACCAAGTACAACAAGTCCAAGTTCAAGCTGCTTCGAAGTCGCTTTGAGTCCTAGCCCTGCTTCTGGCAAGGACACGTCCCTCCTTCATCCACTAAGACTCTGGACTGCTCAAGTCCCAGACTCTGAGGAAAGAATGTGTCTAGAAGCCCAGGTCAGGCACACTCTCTGGGCGCAAGATTCTACACACACACACACACACACACACACACACACACACTTTCTCTCTCTCTCTCTCTGACATGGGGAAATGGAACCCACAGCTACTGAGCACCTACTGCATGCCACTATGCTGGCACTTCATACAAGTTACTTTTTACCATTCTTCATCTTCACAGCACGCTACAACATGGACCTCCTGTAGGAATATAATTATAGGATCATAGATACTATCCTCCTTTCAAAAAAAAAAAAATAATGCAGACTCCCTGAGAGTCTGAATGACTTACTTGGAGTCAAGTTCAAGTAAATTGCAGAATAAGGGCCCAGACCTGTGTCTTTCTGGTTCTAGATCTTTTTTTTCTACAGACATGACACACAATACCCACAATTCATGTGTCTCCATGTATACAAAGTAAGCACATCAAAGAGATGCCCAGATGTACACACAATACACACAGCACACTGCCAGGGTAAACATCCACAAACTGCACACCCAGAGATACACAAAGGAAGTACACATAAGTCTATGTGATAAGCCACAACACGTACACATAAGTCTATGTGATAAGCCACAACACGCAGAATTTTAGTTGCAGGTACTCAATAAATGTCATTGGCTAAATAAATGGCTACATAAAACACATGCAGTCGGGGCACATTACAGACCCCCTCAGGATCCACAAACCATAAATATGCATTTAACCCAACACATACACACACACACACACACACACACACACACACACACACACACAGACACCAGTATCTTCTTGGATCTAAGCTGTGTTTCCAGTCCGGCACTGGGCATACTGTAGGGCTGACAGATGAGTCAGCTTCAGACCCTGGGGAAAAGGGTGAAATGCATATTATGCTACTGGAGGACAAGCCACAGCTATATCAAGTTAAAGGCTTACCTGTGACAGAGGATGATAGAAAATACAGGACAGAGAATGGTGGAGTGGTCAGGGAAGTTTCTTAGGGGAGGTAGCCTTTGAACCAGGCCTTGAAGGATGGGGAGGTTTTGGACAGATGGAGGAAAGAGAGGCATTCTTGGTAGAGGGTACTGGGTGAAGAGACGCCCAAAAGAGGACAGAGTAAGTGGGTCAGATATGAGCTGTGGAGAATGAAAAGAGCATGTGGATACCTACACACACACACACACACACACACACACACACACACACACTCACTCACTCACTCATCATCATCTTCTTCTTGCTGAGTATCTCTTGAAGTACAGGCTGTGACGGATGGTGGGCCTTTCCACATCATCATCATCATCATCTTGCTGAGTATTTGACAGGTTGTGGACTTTTTCATCAACTCACCACCTGGGACAGTATACATGATACAAATCAATAAAGGCAGACATGGTTATGACCTGGCAGCAGCATGCTATACATATCTTGAGCTGGGGAGTTATGTGATGGCACCTTGGGGGAAGGGGAAGAGCACCATTCAGGCTCATTATGGAGGGCCCCAGAGGACAGTGAATGGCAGAAGAAATGCTTCGGGGAGACCAAGGGGTTCCAAGTCCCCCTGTTCCCACTGTGACATTCTGAGAGACCCTGGGGCTTTTGTAGATTCTACAAAATGTGGGCCAAGTGTTTCCTGTCCAAGCGTGCAGGGCCCTTGGCCGTCACCGTTATCCCTAGGACAGGTGGCTGCGGAGTGACAGAGCCCGCGCGAGAAGCACATCGTGGAAGCCAGTCAACACCCACATCCTGGCCCGCCCTGTACCCCTTTCCCTCTAACCTTTCTCTAAGATCCTCCCTCTCTCCAACACCTTCAGCCTGGTTCCTCTACTTCTCCGCCCGCCTCCTCCTCCAGCTCCTTTGTCCTGGTCTCACTTCTCCCTCCGGAAGCCCTCTCCTCTGGTGGCCTCAGGCACCCCAGTCTTCAGCGCCTAATTTCATTCCTCAGCTCTCCATCTCCCCGGGCTTCAAGGCCAGACTTCAGCCTCTTAAGGCACAGCTGGACTCATCACTTTCCCCAAACCTGCCTTTCTTCCGAGTGCATTTCAGGAAATATCTCCATCATCCACCTATTTTCTGCGAGACATCCCTGGCTCCCCCTCTCCCTCAAACCTCGCGTCCAACCAGTCGCAGATCTAGGTCGATTGTAGCTCCTCAAAAGCTCCTGGATAAATATGAATGAAAGCGAGCAACAGCACGGGGTCGGGGCCAGACAGGACCGCGCGTAGACAGCTTGTAACCATAGAGTCCTTCTGGAGGCTGGCGGTAGAGGGGCCGTGTGCGCGCCCGGGTGCGTCGGCCCCTCCCGGAAGTCTTCTGGGCGGAGGCGGAAACGGAACCTTTTGAGGGAGGCGAAAGGGTTCTCGTCGCGCGTGGAGGTTGCGCATACTTGGTGAGCTGGGGTGAGAGCGGACGGGACGGTCAGCCCCGGGCCTCGAGCCGAGAGGGTGGCGGCCGAGGGGTCCAGGGCCGGAGAACCTGGGGGGCCCGTGGGCGGGACCCGAGGTCTGAGGGGCGAGTGGGGCGGGGTCGCGGCGGGGCCCGAGGGGCCAAGGCTGGGACACCCGGGAGAATATCCGCTGGCCTTGAACTCCCGGCCCTGCGGCCCCCAGGCCTCATGGCTGTCCGAGCGTCTTTCGAGAACAACTGTGAAATCGGCTGCTTTGCCAAGCTCACCAACACCTACTGCCTGGTGGCCATAGGAGGGTCGGAGAACTTCTACAGGTGCGGCGGGAGCCTCGGGGCAGGCGGTGGGGGAGGGCTGCGGCGACTCGCGCTCCCGCAGAGCCGAGGGTACCGGTCCCTCGGCCTGTAACCGCTGAGTCGTGTCCCCACAGTGTGTTCGAGGGCGAGCTTGCCGACACCATCCCCGTGGTGCACGCGTCCATCGCCGGCTGCCGCATCATCGGGCGCATGTGTGTGGGTAAGGCAGGTGGATGATACCACGACTACAGGCACCACTAACCATACCCCAGAGGGGACCCGGGGTGACCTAGAAATTCCCAGCCTTTCATCCTTTGTCTCTGGAGACTGTGGAGTCTCTCTGAGCTAGCAGATCCAGTCTAAGTGGCAGCAGATTAGGGGCAGCCTTAGGCAAAGGCGAGGTGCTTTCATTCTTGTTCTCATTTCGTCTTCACAAAGACACAGGATGTAGGAATCATTGGCCTAAATTTGACTAATGAGGAAGCAGAGGCTCAGAGCCTGAGTGACTCACCCACCAGGTTCCACACCCAGTGTGAAGGATTTGTGTCTCAGCTCTCCCCTGACACTGACTGTGGGCAAGTTACCTCTTAGCATCCATTTCTGCCTCTAGAAAACAGCCAATATTCGGAGCCATCCTGCTCAGTAACGCATAAATCTTAAATTCCCTTGACCACATCTCCACCTTACTTTCCTGCCTCTCAGCACTGTTGACTCTGGCCATTGGTCCTTCTTTAAGCTGGATCTGTCTCCCATCGCTGCCACCTCTTGTTTCTTAATTCTGTTCATTGAGGCAATATAGACATCTGTTTCTTTATTTTTTGATTTTATTATTTTTGGTTAATCTTAAAACTGGTGACACTAAGTATTTTCTTTTTGGAGTCTCACTCTGTCGCCCAGGCTGGAGTGCAGTGGCATGCTCATGGCCACCCCAGCATCGACGTGCTGGGCTCCAGCGATCCTTCTGCCTAAGCCTTCCAAGTAGCCAGAACTACAGGCGTGCGCCACCACACCTGGCTAATTGATTTATTGTAGAGATGAGGTCTCGCCAAGTTGCCTGGACTGGTCTCAGACCATGGGCTCAGGCAATCTACTTGCCTCATCCTCCCAAAGTGCTGCAATTTCAGGCTGAGCCACCAAGCCTAGCCAAGTATTATTCAGTTAACACACCCTAATCTCCAACCATGGCCTTAGGACTTGAAGCAAGTTCTGACATAACAAGGGAGATTTTAGCTGGGCTTTTGGTGTATTTTATGATGAGGGTAACTCAGGGTTTAGAAGTTGTGGCCTTGCAAGGATAGCAGAGGTTTAGCCATAGTTGTCACATGTTAGTAATTTGTTCATCCTTATTGCTTTAGAGGATGTTTTGTGTAAGTATACCACAGCGTATTCATCCATTCTGTTGACAGCATGCATTTGGGTAGTTTTCACTTTGGTCTATTAAGGATAGTGCTGCTATGTTTTTTAGTGAACACGTGTGAACTTCCTAGGAGTGGCATGGCACAGTCACAGGTTATGTGGCTATTCAGTGCAATAGATGATGACACATAATTATTTGAAGTGCTTGACCAATTTGCACTCTGGTAACAGAGTGTGTGACAGTTTCATTTGCTCCATATGTCTTTACCAACACTTGGTATTGATGGTCTTTTAAAAATTTTAGTCATTCTGGTAGGTGTGTAGATAGCTCAATTTTTAAGTAGCAAGATGTACAACTAATGCCAAGGGCCCTTCCTGTTAGTCCTGCTCCCATCAGTTGATGGTGAATGGGCAAGGTTTGTTGGGACGGACTCTGGGCCATCTCTGGCCTGCCCTGGGGGTTGTATGGATCAGTGGGTTGGAGGACTGGGGTCTGAGCTGATTGGGCTGGGTGGTATCCTCAGCCCCCAGGGCTCAGCAGGCATCTTGTGAATTCATGGATCATCTTTGCCCCGCCTTCCAATTTGTGTCTCTCCAGGGAACAGGCATGGTCTCCTCGTGCCCAACAACACCACCGACCAGGAGCTGCAACATATTCGCAACTGCCTCCCAGACTCTGTGCAGATCCGCCGGGTGGAGGAGCGGCTCTCAGCCTTGGGCAACGTCACCACATGCAATGACTATGTGGCCTTGGTCCACCCAGACTTGGATAGGGTAAGGCAGCCCAACTTGGCCCAAGAGTCAAGGGACCATCCTAGTCAGTGGATAGCCACTGCTTTTTCCTTACAGGCAGGGATTAGGGGTGCCGTGTGTGTGTGTGTGTGTGTGTTTAACCTGTGGGCTCTTGAGTTTCGGGTACTCATTGGAATACCTGAAAGGTATAATAGAGGCCTTCCATGGTGTAGTCAGTGTCAGAAAGAAGATGGAGAGAGGATTGGATAGACCCATTCAGTCCCACAGCCTGGGCTAGGATAGGTGTTTGTCAGTTGAACTTTTGACTGAAACAGAGGGAAATGGTAACATGACTCCAGCTGTTCAAAGTATGCATGGACAGTAGGGGCTCTACGGCTGGCCTAGACTACTTTAAGCTGTACTCCCTCCTTTTTCTGGGTGTGGCTTTCATATGAGGTCTGTAACAGAGAAATGAGGGACTCGGGGAACCAGGCCTCTGGGTCTTTGGCCTGTAAGTTCTGGGCCCTGAACACAGTACCTTTGGCTACCAGGAGACAGAAGAAATCCTGGCTGATGTGCTCAAGGTGGAAGTCTTCAGACAGACTGTGGCTGACCAGGTGCTGGTAGGAAGCTACTGTGTCTTCAGCAATCAGGGAGGGCTGGTGCATCCCAAGACTTCAATTGAAGACCAGGATGAGCTGTCCTCTCTTCTTCAGGTCCCCCTTGTGGTAAGCATTCCTGTCCTCTGACGCCTGTCTCCTGCTGAGGCAGATCCCTTTGCCCAGTGTTCGGGAGTCTGGGTCAGTAACCTGCCACAGTTTGGGATTGGGGCTGCATGTCAGGGAACAGGATTTGTGGAGAGTTCTCACTAAGGAAGAGGGAGACTTGGGTGCCATGACCCACACTGAGCCCATCTCTTGGCAGGCGGGCACTGTGAATCGAGGTAGTGAGGTGATTGCTGCTGGGATGGTGGTGAACGACTGGTGTGCCTTCTGTGGCCTGGACACAACCAGCACAGAGCTGTCAGTGGTGGAGAGTGTCTTCAAACTGAATGAAGCCCAGCCTAGCACCATTGCCACCAGCATGCGGGATTCCCTCATTGACAGGTATTTGGGATCTCTCTTCTGCTCAGGGCAGGGGCTCACTTGCCTTTTAATGGTAGGAGAAAGGGTTGCCATCAAGAAGGGGAGCCATATGTGTGTACTGGTAGGTTCTCCTAGAGCGTAGTAGCATAGCTGTCCTCTGCTGAGCGGATACAGCCAACATTTTTTGTTTCAATATTCTATGACCTTTAAAAGCTATTTCTTGAGGACCTGCTAATCCTCATCCTTGAAGACTCAGCTTAGTGTCCCCTCTCTAGGCAGGCCTTCCCTATGGTCTGTCTTATCTGATCAGTGACCACATTGATTTGCAGCTTGTATTTGCCTGTCTGTTAGTCTCCCCAGCCAGCAGCCCAAGGCCCGAGACAGAAAAGAGCTATTTGCTAAGGTGAGGTGGGAAGGCTGCCCTTAAACACTGACAACACCCCGATGCTTAAAGGAACTCTTAGCCTGGCTGGTGGCTGGGTATCACATCAGAATCACTTTCTGGATTTTGGTGGGTTAAAAAACAAAACAAAAAACAGTGGACACTAACCCTGGAGACTCTGAGGTGTGAGACTTTAGAGTCTCTTCTCAGGAAGAGCAGCCGTTGCTGGATAGTCAGCCTCCCTCTTGCTTATCCTTTGCTGGAGGGCTCTTCTCAAGACACACCACACCCAGCCACACAGGAGTCTTTATTAAGACAGAGACCCCAAAGTAGAGCAAGTGCCAAGTAGTAACAGACCTCTGCTCTCTCGGGTAAAAATCTCTCTTCCTCATTTTCCTGACTTTCATTGAACTCTAGGGACAAGGCCCCGTGGGGCATAACCAGGCAACTTAGTCCTATGTTCTGCTTCTGAGGGGCTAACAGTATAGCAGGGGAGAAAAGATTTAGTGACCACATGTAACTTTCAGCTGCCTTCAGAGGAGAAATAAAAAGTGCCTTAATTGACCGGGCTCTGTGGCTCAGCCCATAATCCCACACTTTGGGAGGCTGAGGTGAGTGGATTGCCTGAGCCCGCAGGTTCGAGACCCGCCTGGGCAACTTGGCGAGACCTCATCTCTACAATAAATCAAAAAGTTAGTCGTGCATGTTAGCGCGTGCCTGTAGTTCCAGCTACTTGGAAGGCTGAGGCGGAAGGCTCGCCGGAGCCCAGCAGGTCGAGGCTGCGGTGGCCGGCAGCGGCCACTGCACTCCAGTCTGGGCGACAGAGTGAGACTCCAACTCCAAAAAAAAGAATACAAAAAGTGCCTTAATTGTTCTCAGATGGGTGGCTTGGGAAGTTTTGGTGAGAAGCTTTCTGGGATAAAGGAGGTTTCATAGGGGACAGATCATTTAGACTAGCTTCAGGGAATAAATAGATACTTGTGTCACCTGTAAGCCTGTGGTTTTGAGCTTTAGTGTGTGTTGAATGCTTGTTTAAGTAGATTCCTGGTGTCACCCCTCAGATTTACTCCCTAAGTCTGGAGTGGGGCTTAACAATGTATGGGTTTTTGTTTTTTTCTTTTTAAATAAACTACCCTGATGATTCTGATGGGGGCATTTTGGGAGCCACACTGACAAACTCTGCTGTCAGTACTGGTGAGCAATTAACAGGAAGGTGATACCAATATTTTTGTCATTTGTTTTACTTTGTATGTGCAAGCAGTAGTGTGGTGATGAATAAAATGTACTCCCCCTGCCCTTTTGGAACATCGAATCTTAGAAGGAAGATAGTACTTACACAACTAATTTAATTTTAAAGAACAAGACAAAAAACCTCGTAGCAACATGAGAACAGAACCTAACTTACCAAAAAGAACTACAGCAAATGTTCCATTTAACAGTGAAACGTTAGAAACTGCCATTAAAGGCAGGCAAAATTGCCTATAGTCACCAGCACTGGTCAGCATTGTTTTAGTGGTTCTAGCCTATACCATTAGATAAGATAAATAAATGGTTATTATAAAGGAAGAGATAATATTCACTAGCCTCCTTTGGTTCTTGGACATGTTGAGTTTTGGGTGTCTGTGAGATGTCACAATGAAGGTGTCAGGTAAGCAGTTAGGTACTTAGGATTTATAATCATGCACTTGATTGTCACCTCCAGGAAGAATGTTTTTACTTAATCTCTTTTCCAGCCTAGTATTCGTGACCTTTTGTGTTTAGTTAGCACTAATAGGGTAGTGTTCTGGGGAAGGAGGCCAAAGTTCTAGCCCAGCCCTGGCACTGGGGCATTTGTGGCCTGGGCACAGCCCTTTCCCTTGCTGAGCCCTGTTGTTCCCTCCTCTGTGAGATAGACTTGCCTGCCCTCTGCCACTCTGGGTTATGAGCAGTAACACTGAATAAGTTTTTGAGTGAGTTGACCTGATGGAGTCCCTTTGAGTATGTAAGCACTGAGAGTTCTGGACTGGACTGTGACTCATGGATGCAGTCAAACCTGTAACCAGGATGGGGCCAGGTGGGGCTCTGAGTGTAGCTCCAAGTGTGGCTCCAGGGCTGGGCTGGGACAAAAGTCCAGGGCGGAGGGTGGAGGCAAGCACCTTGAGAGGGAGGTGTCCTCTGTGAAACAGCTACTGACAATGCTCTTTCCTCTCTCTAGCCTCACCTGAATAACCTTGCAAGTAGTTCCATGGGCTCCTGGCTTTGGATTTTGGCTCCTTCTCCATGCCCCACCCATCTGTACCAGATGCTGCAGGGAGGTGGCAGAGAGCTCACTGGGACTAAGTGGTTGGGCACTCGGTGCCCATCTCCTGAATCTGTCAGTTACTGCAAAATCCTGCTGTGTTGTGCAGGCTGCCCTTGGCTTCTGGCTGAGGGTTCTGCTGTCTGTGCCACCCCATTAAACGCAGCTGCCTCTGGCCGTTCGGAATGTGATGTTTGGGGACCTCAGCCTGTGCGCACCTCACCCCCTCCCCTTGTTCCAGTGTCCTGGGAAGGTTGGGTGGGATGGACTCACACCCCCCCCACCATCATCAGAGTGGGAGGCTTCATCCCGTGGCAAGAGGAAGAAACACTCCCCTGTGGTGATGCTCATTTTTCATCCAACTTTTGCCCATTTTCTCTGGCCTGTAAAGCATAAGAATCTGTCCCAACTTTCCCCTGGGCCGGTGGGAAGACTCTGTGAGAGCTTGGAGCACCCAGTTTCGGGGAAGCCTTGCTTTGATCTAAGGTGGACCCAGGTTGCTGGCTCCTTGCCTGGGTGGGCTGGGTGGGCATGGAGCCAGGCAGCAGATTGCCAGCGTCCTTATAGGTTGGGAA